CGAAAAGCGAAAAAAATACCAAATTAATTAAAAAAAATTAAAATTGTTAATTTATCATTTAAATTCTATTCCTTATTGATTTGTTTAGGGATCACATTGCATGTGTAAATGTTGCTGAAATACTCACGAGATGGCATTACAAGGATTGTAATAGAAATTATATAGATATTTATTTAAATTACATATGTATTTATGTAATTGTGTTTTGTTACAAATTTTTTATGTTTTTCTAACATATAATTTTTGTTTTTTATTTATTTAGATTTCTCATGTACTTTATAAATTAGATTCTGTCTTTCTAATTAGAAAAATTTTTTCAATTCTTTAATTTTTATTCCAGAAACTACGATATTTAACTTCAAATAAATGTTTGAGCATATATCGCATGAAGAATCAAAAGCGACTTTGATGAAAAATTATGCGTTATTTATGATGCTGTTCAACTGTTATTAATTGTTACAATTGTTATAATTGTTACAATTGTTATGTTATATATGACTAATAATAAACATTGTAAATTTTATATTGTTGTATTTTTTAATTTATGGTAAACAGGATATAAAATTAAAAATATTTCAAGCTACATTTTAAAACTATTTGAAACAGAAATAAATATTTTTGTTCTTATCTTTTATTTTACATTTTTTAAATACTTCAAAATTTTATTATAAAAATTTTATTATTTTTTTACAAAATTTTATTATTTTTTTACATGATATCATTGCTGAATTTCTTGAAAAAAAAAAGAGAAATTAGAATAAATTTTTTATTTTTTTTAATAATTATATAATTTCTTTTACATAAATTGATTCTCCTCATTTTAAATATGCAGAAATATTAAATAAAATAAAATGAAGTAAAATAAAATTAACAAAATAAATATTATAAAAATAAAAATTTTAAAAGATATCTTATATTTTATCCTAATTTATTTTTTATAAAATAAGAATTGTCTCTAATAAGATATTCACTTTCCTTCATTTTAATATTTGTACAATATACATATTTGTACATATACGTACAATGAAAGAAAAGACTGATTTATGAATCTTTTCTTAGAAGATAAAAGATAATTGTTTTCTTATTGATTTATGATAGTTAGTTTGTATAGTATATAGTTTTGACTTTCGTATAATTCTTGAAATCATAAAGACGAGTAACGCTCCTTTCAGGTAATCCTTATTTTAGGTATGTTTTACCTTCAAAGAATTATTTTTGGGGGGGAGAGAGAAAGAGAGAGAGAGGGAGAAGGTTGAAATACTATTGTTGAAATAGACAAATTGATTAAGCTCGGAAGATCACACTAAAAGTTTGTCGTTTACTTTCTGCAAACTCGCAACTTTGTATACCTGACCATCTAACCGTAACGATTTTTCTTCAATAACTATTTATATTTTCAATCTCTCTCAAAGAACCTAATTGATCCTTTCTATACCTTTATTTTTTACACTTAGCTAACCGTACAACTTTCCATGCATAATGCGAAAATATTACAATACTACAGGTTTAAATTAAAATATCATAAATAAAAAAATTGTAGTAAAAGTAACGTTATTTACTGTATTATTATCGTTTTATTATATTGTTTTACTTTCTCCCTTAGTATAAATATGTATTGTACATATGTATTGCGTGTCAATATTATTAGGAACTACGCCAAATCTCCCGTGGTTTTCTCTTTTAAGATTAGTTTCACACAAACTTTCTACAAAAATATTAAAAGTTGTATAGTACTTTACGAGCGTTTAAAATTGATAAAAATTGTTTTAAATCCGGGTATTTAAGTACATCGCTCATCGCATAATCAAGGTATGAGAATCGTCATTGTAGTACATTTTATATAATATTTTTGATAGATAAACACGTAGATAAATTTCAATTACTTTAATTAATTAAGACTTTAAATATATCTTTTATTTAAAAATTATTATAATCTTAACGTTTTGGTTTTAGGATTTTTATTTGAAAATATTATTATTTTTATTTTAAGAATAATACAAGAAGTTTATTATATTTATGATTATTATGGGAGATCACTTGAGTGTTTCCTATAAAATTGTAAGTAATTAAAATTTTCGTTTTCTTTTGTTGAGAATATTTTAAAATTTATTTGTAATAATGTAACAAACACGAGATTTAAACATA